GGCCGAAGTCCTTCTCGAGAAGTCGAATGACTTCACATGGGTCCATGGAGGACACCACATCGGAAAGGGTAGAGAGAAAGAAGTTTGGAAGGACCTGATTGAGCAGGTTTTGTAAGTCGCCCCTTCCTCTCATCCAGTGCATCACGTCCCACCGCGCCGAGAGCACCTCTTGCTCGTCCATTTTGGTGGTCGGTGGTGCTGGCTTCTTAGGATTGTCCCGCAGGAAGTCGGCCATGAGCACCTTCGCTTCAGGCTGTTCCTTCTCTAACAGCTTCGTTTGGTACTGATGGTCCAACTGATTGACGTAAGTCAACAGCTTGTCCTTCCACATAGTGTAGGACTTACCATTAAATTTCTCGAGGCCACCACCAGTCTTAGCAATAGCAGCCATTGAGAAATACTTGAAATGTTGCTTACACACGTAGTTGGTAGTTGCCGTCAGTTTTGGATATGAGGTGGCATCACATGGCCACCTCTCCACCACATCCCTCGGCTTATCTTTAGTTGGGTGGACGCTGGCCTCTTTCCTTCAGCCATTGCCCTTATTGACATTTATCCAATCAAATAGACTATTTGATTGCCTTTTAACCTATCATATTGCACAAACCGAGTATACAAACTCAAAGGTATTGCGTCGCAACAGTCGGAGAGGGATCGGGCTGATGGCGACGACGACGGATGGCTGGGTGTAGTTTTCTTTCGGTGCAAAGTTAATTAATGGTTCAGATTAGAAATTTGACACTGATTTTTAGGCAAGTAGTATCACATGTTCTCTACCAAGACGGGGTAGGGTTTGTTGTGATTACTATATCCTGAGCTTCGCTGCTGAGCTTGCTGTGCTTCGCCTTGTTCAAGTACCGGTAAACACCCACCAGAGCCAACCAAAACATACATTTCGGAGGTGATTTATTCATTGACAGACATCACATCGTCATTAACTTCCAAAAAGGCATAGTATACTCGCTCCGGTGAGAAGCCATTCAGCAAGGACAGCGTAGACGATACGCAACACGGCCCCACCGTAGCCGACCCACCTGTCCCGCCCGACATTATAGAGGCCTTAAAGCCCCCCCAAAACCCTCCGTAAGATCTATCCATAGCGGCCTATTTTTCTCCAATATCGGACATGGAAGCTAAGGAAGCGGCATGCGCTGTAAGCAATGAAAGGGAGGCTTTCCAGGTGGTTAAGAAAGCGAAGAAGGAGGTTGCCGGAACAAAGGCAGACGCAAAAGCGCTTGGTAAGAGTCGCGCAACAAGAATCAAGGCTAAGGTAACCAAGAGGATAAAATAGAGTAATGCAATGGTTGTGGAGCTTCTAAAGCTACGTCTTAAGGATGTAGAAGTGAAGGATCGCATGGAGGCAGCGGACACGAACGTCAAAAAGGCTCTTACCTGGCTGCCTGGCAGTTCGTCTCTAGCGTTCTATCACAAGCGCTGGATATGGTTATTACGCAGGTTCAGGTACTAAAAGTATGGTCGATGTGTGGAAATCTATGATCTAATATCTCAATGTATTTGCTGTATTGAAAAGGGAACAGAGGACTAAAATGCATGTACCTAAAATAAAGCGTGAAATGAAGGAGACAGACAACAACCTAATATATCTCAAAGAGCTATTTTAAGGGATGCGTTTTCGAGTAAAGAGGGTTTGAGTGGTAAGTTCTGATGGACACCAACGACAAGTTGGAGCAAGACAACTCGGATGAAAGTGACAGAAGTGTCAATACGACGCGATCGCAGATGAAGCTGCCGCCTGTCGTGCAGCTGGCGAATGCGATGGAAAGCGGTACGACCGCCATCACTACTACTATGGCAAGCGGCAATTCTAATGAAGAGTCCTTCCGTGCTCTTACTAATGCGGTGGAGCAGCAAATGCGTGCTCTGCATGCTCAGCAGGAAATAATGCGCCATTTCTAGGACGTGCATTTGCAATTGATGCAGCGTCTATTAGAAAAAGCCAACAAATAATTTCACGTGATATACAGCTGAGGATAAATACTCAAACTCCTTTTGTTACAGCCATTTAAAGCAGGCAACGTGTATTAGTGGTTAAAAAAAAGCATCAGCCCCAATGGCATTGGAAAACGCAGCCATATCTTCAAAGCCTTTAATATCAGGTAGTTTGCTTGAGAGCCCCATAACTGCTTAGCGAGATGAAAATCCATTCAAACATCCAACGTCTCGTTAATATAAACGACGTCGCGTGGTCTTCGTATTTCAAGCATGATTGCTGCTGTATCCATCATGCAGCCCTGTACTAAGTAGAGAATGGTCAAAGCTACTCACTTAATAAGCTTGGTGCGACTATTCGCCGCTGGTCTTCGAGATGAAGTATCTCGAATAAATGTGTAGATCCGAAGAAATGACACCTTATCCATCCTGAGGTTTTTGTGGAACCAGTTAGTGCGTGTAAACTTCATGGCTTGCTCGAACGTAGTTGTGCAGAGCGTTGAGATGATGTTTGACCGTGGGACTCAAATGCTGCGCTTGTCGAATACTGCAATGATGCCGGTGCACGAACAAGCACTTGCAATCACAGCGATGAGCGCAGTAGCGCCATCGTCCATCACGGGCTGTTTTTCTGGGAACCAGTGCAGCAATCAGTAAGATTGGTACCATGTACCAATCCCGTATAGCCAATCAAATTCATTCGTTCTTACAGCACACGTTCTGAGACAGCGTCAAACAAAATGATACTTACAAACCTAAGTACGAATCGCGATTAAAGCACTCTACGGGGCATATTTGAGCACTTATCAGCTACAGAATGAAGAAGTTGTGGTCGCTCTTAAAATACTATTCATTTTCGGGCCCTTGAAATGACGATTCATTTAGGAGTGTTGTCAGCTCAATATTTTTTCAAATTTTGAGATTTAAGTGGTATTTAAAAGCCCTTGTTAAAATCAATTGAATAAAGGTAGCCTTACAGTTTTTCGATGGAAGTTTACACCAAATGTACAGTTCCAGTTAAGAGCGAAAAAACTTTAAGCTTGATTATCTCGTTAACTCTAAATGGTTCGTAAGTATCATTTTGGTTGACGCTGTCTGTTGGATTTATGGGTATTTATTAGAATTGTAGCCCATCTTCTAGCTATGAATTAATACAAAAAGCTTATTGTAGTGGGCAGAGAAGTACTTTATGTAAGCTAAGATCCCGTTCGGGGAAATAATCACTGTTTTTTCGCATAAAATTACCGCAAAAAGCGATGGCACGGAGAGCTCTCAATCAAAACCAGTCATATCCTCAGTCACAATTATTTTCTCTACAGTCAAAGCGACGCCAGCGCTACTGCCATGGCATCGTCACCAAGCGCCCGCTACTCGTGGTCGAGGGCGGCCACGAAATCAAGACGTTGATACGGTAGCTGCGTCCTGGAATGACGAAGACGTGAATGTGCTCTTCAAACTCAGGTACAAAACGATGGCCGCGCTGTTTGAAGACGCAAAGACCAAAAACAAAATCAACGAAGCCTGGTCGCTAGTAGCGAGTCAGTTGTGCGTCATCAGGGTGAAGGTGTTCACGACGACGCAGTGCCGAGCTAAGGTATGCTAAGTACAGCTAGATGTCATTGTTGTGTTCACTAGCGTGTGCTCTTGCTCTTGTCTAGATGCGGAACATGAAGACGCGCTGGACGGCGACTCGCCGAGCTGCAACAGAGACTGGAAATCGGCCTGTACCTCGCGATCCCAAGCACATGAACGTGATAACTGAGTACTGGGGCGACTTAGCTGGCATGGGAAACGTGTCACTGCTCAGCACGGATGAGCCTGACATCACGGCTTCGCAGGGGTTGATGCAGGAGGATGACGGGTCTTGAAGCGCAGGCGAGGAGCTCCTGGCGGAGTCGCTGAGCCCGGCGTCTTCTGATACAGAGGCTGCAGTTGAGGACAGCAGGACGTTGGAAAGCGTAGAAGACGCTACCACGCCGTCTATCAAGAGAGTATTGTCGACGGCTCGCGCAGAGAATACCAAGCGAAGCAAAGCAAGCCAAGGAGAGCGGGCAAGTAGCCGTCGGCGATGGTTTGCGTGCCATCGGTGAGCGCATGACCTCCAGCACTACTGAGCACGACAAGACGAACGAAATGTTGAATGCGATTCGAGAGCAAACGAATTCTTTTCAAACACTGCTTCAATTCCTGAAGAACAAGGACAATTAAGCTAGATTAGATAACGAGCGATGTCGTCGCGCTTGTTAATGGCAATCTTTCTAATGACTAGTGAGACGCACATATCTTCATTTTTTCTGCACTCATCAGGTACTACAGGCACGTCAAAATCAACCCCAAAGCAATCAAAATGTTGTGCAAAACTATAGAGGTGGCTATAATGTCGACAGATCTACCCACATCGTCAACGTCAGTGCACATCTTCAATACACGGAAGCGTTCCTTTGCCACCCCGAAAGCGCGCTCCACCACCATTCGAGTACTGGAATGAGCAAAATTAAAACTGCGTGTCTTGGTGTCTCGAAAGGCACCATCAAATGTCTCGGG